TTAAGTGACATTTTTTCACAGTTAACTAGTTTTGTACTACTTACCCTTCATCTCCTTTTCTTTTGGTCAACATCTGACAAAAAAAAGGGCATAAAAAATTGACAAATGACTTTTACAGGTACATATATGGCAAACAATAGGAAATCAAATTATGCTAGTACACATTTTTACACGACTATGAATTTAGTTTGTAATCTTTCTAAGTTAAAAGATATTGACTCAAAGAATTTTTAAACTCTTGCTAGTTCTTTCACTTAATTTAGGAAATATCTATCAATACTTTTCTCTCAATCAAAAGAGTATATACTTAGGGCACTGTCATCAAACATGTCTGTGACAAACCATAAAAAAAAACATTCTTGGCTGAAGTGCACCCACAAAATAACGTAGGCAGAAAGAACACCCACCTCAGAAAAGTTGCATTTCTCAATGAGTGAAATACAAGTCCCTACCTGACTGATTTTTTGCCAATCTCTGTCTAGCTTAGCCTTCTCGTCTTTGGGGCCTGCACGCCGTGTTTTGCGTCCTTCAGACATCTTGATACCAAACTGAAAAGCAGCTCTGCAGAACAAAAAGATAAGAGTTCTCACTCGCTTGTAAGGTTGGTGTTACTAAAACAATGTAGCCATTTACTTGAGTGTGCATTGGGGGTGGGGGGGGGGGGTAAGGAAGGCCAGGGCAGGGGGGGGGAACAAGCCTTCTTGGCTTCATCCAACAGTTGCAAAGGGATTCTGGAGGTTAGGTAAACATGTGAAAAACAAAATTGCCTTCCTGCTTAACACCTTAATGAAACCCCAGAATGAATATAATAACTTGGGACTGAAAGAATTGACAAAAACAGACATAATTTTGAGAAGTCCTAACAAACTAATATTAATATACGTACTTTGGAAGGGCCTCTCTGTTTTCCATGTAGCTGTGATAATCCTCTTCTGTTTCAAAATCCCACCGTTTGATGGGACCTTTCTTGTTACCCTAAAGCCAATATTTAAATAACATATGATAACCACATAAGAATAAACTGTTAAAAACTTTGCAAACTTGCGTAAAAAAAATTGATATATGAATTTAAAATTAAAACTATTATATTATTAATTCTAAACATGTCCACCAATGAATAACTTATTTAACTGCAAACAAACAACTTAAAAAAGTTCTGGACAGTTCTAAATTATTTTAACATTTTGTTATTAACTATATCTTAATGTATAGTAGTTTCAACACTAGTACAATGAAAATGGACACTAACTCAAGTTCTAGTTCTATTGACTGACTAATGAAACAAACAGGCAAACAACCAAACAAACAAAAAAATAAATGAAAACCTTAACATCAAACAACAAACATAACCGAGAAGGCAACAAAACTGCAAATTAAAATTACATAAAGTGAGCTAAAATCAACAGAAAAACTAAAACTAACAAGAAAGAAACCAAAAGTACTAACAAATTGTGCATAGTATTTTCGGCCACGCAAAGTTCCAACTGTACAATCCTGTCACCATTTAAAAAGTTAATATATTGCCTTCAAACAAATGTTACTTTACTACAGAAAGTTAATTTTTAATCTTAATAGTTTCATACATCTTGAAATTATTTCTTAAAAAAATTCAAATTATAATACAGATTAGTAGATTGTAGGGAAAGTAAAAAAAAAACGGGAATATCCTTACATTCAAAATTTGCAATTAGAGTTAATAATGGTAACAGGACTGAGTGGAGTCCAATTCGGTCTGTAATCATACGAGTGATTAACAAAATTGGACGACTGCGAAGTGGGAGCCCGATTTGTTAATCACGAGTATGATTACAGACTGAATTGGACAACACAATGTCCTGTTACCAATTAATCAAAACTATGACAATATTCGAGAAACGAACAAACCATCGATTGAGCACTGAACGATAAAACTTCGTTATGAATGCTGAAAAACACAGCAGTTTACTCAACAAAGTGCACCGCAACAGCACGCGCAAAATGACGCGTACTGTCCAATTACAAGCATGATGCATACACTGTCCAATTAATGTTCAAATCGGGCTGCTGATAGCCAGTCACATTTGAGAATTTTGCTATAGTTTTGATTAATAAAGAAACTGTACACATGATTCCACATGGTTCATACAGCCACCAGATGTTCTTTTCCAAGGACTATTCAAGGATTCAGCAATATTCAATTGCAAGGACTTGTTTCCTTAAGAATTATTTGACTATGAAATTTGTTTAGGTAGGAAGGGGGGGGGGGATTACACACAAAATACGGAATACTCAAGACCCCCGTGAAGCAGGATTATTTCTGCTGTAAGGTACTACTTCACATGTCATCATCAAAATCAATGAATTACTTTTAATTCTAGTAAATATTACTTTTTTTTCTGTCTTCTAAAGAATTTACAAGTATGTCTTGAGCAGAGAACTGCTAGTAAAAATTCAAGGAGAAAACCAAAATTTTGAAATCATCTTAGAGGACTTTTCAAGGATGTGGTAATTTTCAAGGATCTTCAGGACCTGTGTGAGCCATGATGAAAAACCAATGTTGTGAAATCAAAAATGAAGCATTTTACTCAGCTTAAAGGCAAATTTCACAGACTGAGTTTGTTAGTTTGACTGTATGTTACACTGTCTTACTGTTATTCTGTTAGCTTGTCTATAGGTAATTCCAGTAAGTTTTGATTTGGCAATGATTGCGTGACATCGAGAAAAAAAAAAGATACCAGTGACAGGATTGACAATTTACAAATGAGTGATGTAAAATAAAAATTAAAAAGTGCAACAAATAAAAAAAAAGAAAAAAACAAAACAAACAAAAAAAACAAATGCCACACAAATTAATGTGATTCTTTGGGTTACAAAAGAGACAATGTATGGAATACATTAATCCAACAAAGTCTGTGGCAAACAGAGTCTCTGCAAGACCTCTACTAATATTATCATGTAAAGGACTATAGTCTCCTGAATCAAGAAATTTTTAGACGGTTCAGTTTTTAATGCTATTGATAAAACATTACCAGTATGTAATCTGGATTTGCACGATGTACACATGTAATGTATGCAAATAATGACTGACAGGTATCAAATTTAGATATGTCCCTTTCTGTGACTGCCACTCTTTGCCAAGTACAAGATGATTAAAAATTTTATGTTATTTTTATTTCACAACAACAACAAAAAAATCTGTTACATCTTAACGGAGGCAGAGTATATAAGACAGAAATTGATGTCAATTAATGATTTTTTAAAGTATGATTCAGTCAAGATTGAACCTACCAAATCCATTTTACTGTAATCAGCCTCCTCATCACTGTCATATGGCATATCCACAGCACTAAACAAAGACCAAAAAAAGACTTGAACAACTTAGTTGTCAGGTTTCACATGTACAAAATGTACCATAACTCCTCCAACACAAGCAATTGTCTTATGTCTTCCTCTTAAAGTAAGGTAGGGAGGAGTATGAAGTGATATACATTTGCCTAAAAGGCATTGGGATGAGACATGAGCATGGCAATCACTCACATCCCAACCCCTTTTTATAGCACCTCTTTACATTCACAATGGCAGATAAACACTCACTGATCCCTAAAAGAAAAGACTGGCTGCCTGCAGTCTAGAGTCTTTTGCACTTTATCATACAGTACTGCTTATAGAATCTTGATATCAGTCAGTGCTACAAGCCAAAAATAAATTAAATAAATATACCTTACCCTGGATAACATTCTGAATAGCTGTCTGGAACATAATTGACATCTTTTACTTTGCGGGAGTGTCGATCCCTTTTCTTTCGTCTTGAAAGAGTTAAGTTACAAACAACTGCATCACAAATTGATAACTGTTACAAACCTACTCAGGGAAAAACAATGTTAAACATAGCAATGTTATTATTAATTTAAAGGAAGAAAAAACGTTCTAGCCACACTTTTTTCCTTTGCAGACAAACTTTGAGCTGGAAAGTACAAATGAGAAAATAGGTATCCTTTGCAACTACATTGTATATTTTGCTTTCAAGTTGTGCTGGCTGAAAAATAAATAAAATAAAATAACTTTATTTGTCAAATCTATTGAGCACTGTTGTGCTAACTGGGGACACTGTAAAATAAATAAACAAAATAATTAATACTGCAAGTAGAACATATTAAATTATTAAAGAATGGCTTTAGGCTGACCAGTTGGCTATTACATAACACGATCAAAGAGTTGAACTCAGGACTACCAAGAACAAATTCCAGATAGCAGTAGGGATGAGGATTTGAACCAGGGACCTCCAGATTTCAAATCCAGCACCCTAAACCACTCGGCCAAGCCACCTCCACAAAAACTTTAAATAGAGATTGGTTTACAAAAAATATTACCAACAGCTTCATGGTAACTCACTGACATATCTCCAGCTGTCAGCCTACATGGGTGGAGACAAGTAACCAGGTGATTGAGTTGTCATCTTGTTAATCAGGATGATGTAGTTTGTACAGGCAAAAATCTCACATCAAAAAAATATTGTGCAACATTACACATAGAAATATGGATTGAAACTAAATTTAAATCTTGACTAATATCAAAGGATACTTTGGGTCGACTGAATCCCATGCTGCTCTCTCCTCCATCTCCTGCTAAATAAAATAAAAAATAATTATAATAAAATAAGGTGAAATAAATGTGAACTGTACATTGCAAAATTCACACATGTATACCTTTTTTCCAAAGGTTTGAGTGACAGACTTAGCAAACTCTTCAGCTGACACATCTAAATTTAAAAAGAAATAAATTATTGAGTCATTGAATACAAACATGTTTTAAGTAAATTTGCAGTGAAGCCATGAGTCTATAAATAAAACTGACCAATAAAAACCATTTGATTACTGCAAATTCACGAACAAGAAGTGTTAATCCATTGTTTTAAATATTACACGGTCGGTCATGTGTCACTGTCTTACCTTTCTTACTAAACTGTGCCTGAAAAAAAATCAAAGGAACATGGCTTTATACAAGAACATTAAAAGATATCAACGAAACATGCTACTGGTAACTCATGAAAAACATACAAATGACTAGAAATGTAACAGAAACATTCCCCATTAAAAGATCCTCAAATTTGATTTTAGCAATTTATATAAAAAAAAATAATGCCCTCATTTTCAAGAACAACGGTATATATACAAACAGTTGGTCTTGAAAATGAGGGCATTAATTTTTTTGATATAAATTACATGTACACTTTGGCTAAAAGCTGTGCTATTAATTATATATTGAAGTTCATGAAAAATATTTGTACTGCCTCAAATTGTTCCCCTTAGGAAACAAGAAGGTGTTTCTATAGAACTATAAAAAAAACACAAAAAAAACCCCCTGTGAATGACAGCTGTAGCAACTAGAATTTTCTTTGAGTATTTTTAATTCCATGTTTTTGCGTGCCACTTACCTATGGGAATTACGTAACCAACACATTAGTACTTAACCGATCATTATGCATAATTTGGCGTCCATTTGCCAGTGCTTGTTTACGGCTGGCGGTTAGTTTTTTCCTGGTTTCTACCACGTTTCGAACTAGAATTCCACTGTTGTGAAGTTCTGAATTATTGTTGTCAAGAGATTTATCCTGCTGGGCTCATCACAGTTTGTGAGTTTATTTTTCTCCGCATTTAGTTTGCAGTTATATCTTTGTACTTGGGTATTTTTGTCTTGTTTATTTTTCAGTTTAATCACATCACATCACGTTACATCACACACACCCATAATTACTCTTATTTACTCTCGAGCTTATGTGAACCATGATTAAAAACTGTGCATTCAAACTGTGGCATCGCTTTCTGTAGCATCTATACCTACAACCGCCAGAACTTAATCAAAACAGCTGTGGAAATATATAAATATATAATGACCATCAATTCTCGTCGTCGTATTGTATAACTCTATGGACAGACCCCCCAAAAAGGTTGCCATTTTGTTCTAAAACCAAAAATATTTTGCCATGACAATAAAAGTTTAAAAATGTATCAGCAAAACTCTGGAACGTCAATTCTTGACAAGATACATTTTTGTATGACATATACCTCATCATCAACTCCACCTTCAGATTTCTCAAAGTAGCTTGTGGAATTTTTGGATTTCTTCCTGTCGCGTTCTTTTGCCTTTTCTTTCTTTTCATATTCTCTTGTAGTTGCTGTGGGATCATAATCTCCAATTTCTCCAAAAATACTGTTAATGAAAAGTGAAACGTTTTGAAATAAAGCTTCCCTGACCAAATAAATACAAAATGTCAGAAAAAGTACTTACTATACATGTAATTATAGAAGTTTCTAGCCTCCCCTTACAGCCATCTTTTCCACCCAAACATTTTTTCCCGGAAGATTTCTAGCTGTGGCAACCCTCCTTTTGCTTTTATTTTCTCCAAAACATACTTTTACACACTGGCATTTCGTCAGTTTAACAGCCTAACATCATACAGATAGCAAAACTGACTGCCACTGACAGGCTACCAACTGATGGGAGATTTCTTTGCACTTGAGTTGTTCTTCAATACTATTAACATCTGACAAACACTCCCCTCTTACCTGTCATCAGCCCCTGCAGGGCGTATCTTTTGTCCTTGCTTGTCATTCTTTTCCTTCTCTTTCGCTATGATAAGAAGATCGGAGGTTGCTGTAATTACTATTCTTAAATGAAGCACTCAATATGTATCCAATTTTACAATGATTTTCAAATAAGTAAATGCTTACAGGCCAGATGGTTATGCATTTAAAAAAAGGCTCGGGTTCCATATTTTAGCCCTTCAACTAAAATGAGGAGTGGTGAATGTTCCTTCAAAGACTATGGGTTTTGCAAAGTTTTTGTCCAACTTCTGGTGTCTCGCAGACTCAAGTGTGTTTTCTGACTAGTCATGGGCATCTGAACATCTTTGAATCTGAACGTCTTGTGCTCTCATTTATAACACTTTGAAGTCTTGGTCATGCAATTTAAAAAGTCAATTTTTTTTGCAATGCAAAAGAAAAAAGCTAGTCTGGCCTTCATGCAAAGACTCGCATAATTTAACCATTTGTCACTCCTAAAATGAAACCTTTTTTGACACTCTTTTGACCAATACTGCCTAAAAGTCAAGATGCCACTCTTGCTTGTTATGGCACTATGTATTTCAAAATTCAACAAAAGACATTGAAATTATATGAGTTAAAGTAAATAAAATTAATTTTCTTGTTTCAAATAAACAAAACAAACAACAGACACTGCAAGAAATATAATCAAGAAAAGTGATTTACAGAAAAAATGACCACTTTCCCCCAAGAGACATGCGTGCAAGAGTTGCATTTGAAATGTTACTTGTTTTGTTGAATGTAAGTACCACGATCCCCTGCATGTGGACTGCATGCAGGAATTTTGCCTTGAGGGAACGAGGCATTCAGACAAAAATGGAACCTCTAGAAGTAGGACCACTAATTATGCCCCAGATAATGAGAAAGATTTTAAATGCCTACCTTTTTCCTTCTTCTTAACCTTCTTTCCTCCCCGGGTGCCTTGACGCAAGTACAACAAGATTTGTGTCAATTTGTTGATAACAATGTCATTGGTTGTTAGTGTTGCTTGAGTCTAGGAGGAAAACAAATGAAATATTATCGTGTAATTTATGTTTAAGGAGAATACTGCTTTTACCAAGTATTATATAATGTGTCTAAATATAATGTGTCTCAGTAATTTGTCAATTTGCAGTAACACAACTAACATCAACAAGCAGAGCTTGCAAAAGACCTGCGCAGTGGGTCTTTTCCAGTTCAAAAATAGCCTAGGGTGTTATTGGCTTCTTCTTATTGCAATAAGAAGATTAAAACCATGGGTCACAGGACACTGTACATTGTGGCTGCAAAGGACCTGCTCTGATACTGATCAAAAGATGTGACAATTTGCACAAACTAGTATTTAGAGGACATCATCAAAAAATTGCATCTGATCTGAATTGATTTCAAGGATGATGGCTGCAAATGCTTTAAGACCACACAAATGACAAAAAAAAGCATGACTATTAAAAAATAACTAACTTCAATTCCAGGACAATCTGCTTTACTCCTGATGAGTGTTGTGGGGATATCGCTTTCAGCATATTCATCTTCGACATCAAACACATAAGCCTGAGTAAAATGATAAAATAAAAACATCACCAGCAGTGTTAGTCAACATACACATTCATAACTGGCAATGGAACTAAATTACAAACTACCAAACACACATAATTTGCTCAGGACTGCATTTTGTAGTATACTTTCCCAGGCTTTTGAAAAGATGAAAATTGTTTTATCATCATCACACATTATGTAGTATTCACTTAGATATTTATTAGTTCTGTGAATCAGAGCATCTTTGCCAAGGTGTATCATGTTCAATGTTCTGACACAGTTTTGGTCATGAAAATACCTTTCAATAAATAATGTTCTGGACATGACAACAGCGAAATGACAAGAAGACTGTAAAGTGAATGTTTGTTACCATTCGTCCTGGTTGAAACAGTTCATTTCTCTCTGCTGGTCGATTCCTGAACAAGGCTTTGTATATTTTTTGACCTATTGTGAAAATATACATCAATACATGCATCAGTTATTATCACAGGGATAAACCTCAGAGTCTGAACTGTTATCCTATTTCAGACCAAACTATTATGATTTTTCATAACATTCTCCAACATATTTTAATCAACTTTGGCAGACAAACCAATGCCAGACAAAATATTTTCAGATTTGAGCTATGGTGTAAAATCTATTTTAGACCTAAATTTAACAAATTTTTGTTTTCTTGTATATACATAGATCTCTTTCTCTATTACTACTACATGGCACTTCAAGACTAACAACTAATAGATCTAAAATTAATTTTGTGTCTGTTTTATGGAGTGGGATTGGAATGCACCTGGTCACAGAGCGGTTTTCATTTGAGTGTCGAAAGTAATTAGACAATTAC